AAAAAGATGCTTATTAACTGTATGGATTGAGGAATTAGGCTTAATATTTACCCTTCATGACTGCAGGGTCTCCCCATCTAAGCAACCAGTCCCCCGAAGCCTCTTCTGTAAGACCATTGTCCCATGATGACGTCATCGTGTACAATACAGGACCAATAGCCTTGAACTGTGTGTGAGGACAGTGAAGGACTACCCACAAGCGGGAACTGAGGACAGCGCTGGAGTCAGCCAGAGCAAAGAGTACGGCAAGTATTACACCTTATTCCTCATCCCCTAGAGCAGTGGTCTCCAAACTGTGGCCCAGGGGCCAGATGCGGCCCTTTACTTGCCTTTATCTGGCCCTTCGGGCACTATTTCATCCACTGATACCAACAATGGGGCATAATTCCTCCCTACTCAGACCAATGATGGGGCAGAATTCCTTCCAATGACACCAATGATGGGGCACTATTCCTCCCACTGACACCAATGATGGGGCACTATTCATCCCACTGACCCCAATGATGGGGCACTATTCCTCCCACTGATACCAATGATGGGGCGCTATTCCTCCCACTGACACCAATGATGGGGCACTATTCCTCCCACTGACACCAATGATGGGGCACTATTCCTGCCACTGACACCAACAATGGGGCAGGCAGTATTTTTCCGACTGATACCATTGATGGGACACTATTCCTCCCACTGACACCAATGATGGGGCACTATTCCCCCCACTGACACCAATGATGGGGCACTATTCCTCCCACTGACACCAATGATGGGGCACTATTCCCCCCACTGACACCAATGATGGGGACACTATTCCTTCCACTAACTCAATAATGGGACACTATTCCTCCCACTGACACCAATGATGGGGCACTATTCCTCCCCCTGACACCAATGATGGGTCACTATTCCTCCCACTGACACCAATGATGGGGCACTATTCCTCCCACTGATACCAATGATGGGGACACTATTCCTCCCACTGACACCAATGATGGGACACCATTCCTATCACTGATACCACTATTCCTCCCACTGACACCAATGATGGGGCACTATTCCTCCCACTGATACCAATGATGGGACACTATTCCTTCCACTGACACCAATGATGGGACACCTATTCCTATCACTGACACCAATGATGGGGCACTATTCCTCCCACTGATACCAATGATGGACACCATTCCTATCACTGACACCAATGATGGGACACATTCCTATCACTGACACCAATGATGGGACACCATTCCATCCACTGACACCAATGATGGGGCACTATTCCTCCCACTGATACCAATGATGGGACACCCATTCCTATCACTGACACCAATGATGGGACACCATTCCTATCACTGACACCAATGATGGGACACCATTCCCTCCCACTGACACCAATGATGGGACACTATTCCTGCCACTGACACCAATGATGGGGCACTATTCCTCCCACTGACACCAATGATGGGCACTATTCCTCCCACTGATACCAATGATGGGGACACTATTCCTCCCACTGACACCAATGATGGGGCACTATTCCTCCCACTGATACCCTCACTGACACCAATGATGGGACACCATTCCTATCACTGACACCAATGATGGGGCACTATTCCTCCCACTGATACCAATGATGGGACACTATTCCTCCACTGACACCAATGATGGGACACCATTCCTATCACTGACACCAATGATGGGACACCATTCCTACACACTGACACCAATGATGGGACACTAGTCCTGCCACTTATACCAATAATGGGGCATATTCCTATCATGATACCAATGATGGGACACCATTCCTATCACTGACACCAATGATGGGACACTATTCCTATCACTGACACCAATGATGGGGTCCTGCCACACACCAATGATGGGGCACTATTCCTCCCACTGACACCAATGATGGGGCACTATTCCTCCCACTGATACCAATGATGGGACACTATTCCTCCCACTGACACCAATGATGGGACACCATTCCTATCACTGATACCAATAATGGGACACTATTCCTGCCACTGATACCAATGATGGGACACTATTCCTTCCACTGACACCAATGATGGGGCACTATTCCTCCCACTGACACCAATGATGGGGCACTATTCCTCCCACTGATTCCAATGATGGGACACCATTCCTATCACTGACACCAATGATGGGGCACTATTCCTCCCACTGATACCAATGATGGGACACCATTCCTATCACTGACACCAATGATGGGACACCATTCCTATCACTGACACCAATGATGGGGCACTATTCCTCCCACTGATACCAATGATGGGGCACTATTCCTCCCACTGACACCAATGATGGGACACCATTCCTATCACTGACACCAATGATGGGACCATTCCTATCACTGACACCAATGATGGGACACTATTCCTCCCACTGATACCAATGATGGGGCACTATTCCTTCCACTGACACCAATGATGGGGCACTATTCCTCCCACTGACACCAATGATGGGGCACTATTCCTCCCATGATACCAATGATGGGCACTATTCCTCCACTGACACCAATGATGGGGCACTATTCCTCCCACTGATACCAATGATGGGGCACTATTCCTCCCACTGATACCAATGATGGGGCACTATTCCTCCAACTGACACCAATGATGGGGCACTACTCATGACACCAATGATCCATTCCTGACTGACACCAATGATGGGGCACTAATTCCTCCCACTGATACCAATGATGGGGCACTATTCCTTCCACTGACACCAATGATGGGGCACTATTCCTCCCACTGACACCAATGATGGGGCACTATTCCTCCACTGATACCAATGATGGGGCACTATTCCTCCCACTGATACCAATGATGGGGCACTATTCCTCCCACTGACACCAATGATGGGGCACTATTCCTCCCACTGATACCAATGATGGGGCACTATTCCTCCCACTGATACCAATGATGGGGCACTATTCCTCCCACTGACACCAATGATGGGGCACTATTCCTCCCACTGACACCAATGATGGGGCACTATTCCTCCCACTGACACCAATGATGGGGCACTATTCCTCCCACTGACACCAATGATGGGGCACTATTCCTCCCACTGACACCAATGATGGGGCACTATTCCTTCCACTGACACCAATGATGGGGCACTATTCCTTCCACTGACACCAATGATGGGGCACTATTCCTATCCACTGACACCAATGATGGGGCACTATTCCTATCACTGACACCAATGATGGGACACTATTCCTCCCACTGACACCAATGATGGGACACTAGTCCTGCCACTTATACCAATAATGGGGCACTATTCCTCCCACTGACACCAATGATGGGACACTAGTCCTCCCACTGACACCAATGATGGGACACTAGTCCTGCCACTTATACCAATAATGGGGCACCATTCCTCCCCATGAGACCAATGATGGGGCACAACTTCAACAATTAACACCAAGGATGGGGCATTGTTTTATTCCTACTGACGTTGGGACCTTTTCCACTCCCACTGACCACAGTCCGGCCCCCTTAAAGTCTAAAGGACAGTAAACTGGCCCTTTGTTTAGGAAGTTTGGGGAGCCCTGCCTGAGAGCAACAAACATTTCACCCCAGCATTGCAGGGGGTGGGGGCACTGCAAGGGTAGCTTTTTTTTTTTGTTAATTCCCAAATTTGGGTTTTCAGTGCAGCATTCTAAGGGGTGAGTGAGTGTAATACACTGAGGTATTTGGTAACCCATCAGAGAGATCACAGCACTCCTGGCCTGCAATATAGCACTGTCATTTATTTTTTTTAAAAATGGCAGTTGTGCAGTAGTCATCAGTAAAATCTTTTCTGTGCCGTAGGCAATTATATGGGGGAAATCAGTTGATGCTGCAAACTAATGTACACCCAGGACCACAAAAACTGAATGTTGTTAGCCTGTAATGTAGAACTGTCATTTATTGAAAAAAAATGGCAGTTGTGCAATAGTCATCTGTGAAATCAATTCTCACACCAGTCACAATAAATAAGTAAGAAATTATATCTGAAAAATATTTGATGCTACCAATTACTGTATATCCAGGACCACAAAAACTGGGTGTTGTTAGCCCATATTATAGAACTGTCATTTATTTAAAAAAATGACAGTTGTGCAATAGTCATCTGTGAAATCAATTATTTCATCAGTCACAGAAAATAAGTAAGAAATCATATCAGGGAAAACGTTTGATGCTGCCAACTACTGTACATGCAGGACCACAAAAACTGGATGTTGTTAGCCTGTAATGAAGAACTGTCATTTATTTAAAAAATGGCAGTTGTGCAGTAGTCATCAGAGAAACCAATCCTTACTTACAGTCAAAGAAAATAATTAGTCATTTATATGGGGGAAATCGTTTGATGCTTCAAACTATAGTACATCAAGGACCTCAAAATTGGGTGTTGTTGGCCTATAACAGAGCTCTCTCATTTATTAAAATAAAAAATGGCAGTTGTGCAATAGTCATCTGTGAAATCAATTCTGTGACTTTAGTCATTGATATGGGGGAAATTGTTTGATGCTTCAAACTATAGTACATCAAGAACCACAAAATTGGGTGTTGTTGGCCTATAAAAGAGCACTTTCATTTATTTAAATAAAAAATGGCAGTTGTGCAATAGTCATCTGTGAAATCAATTCTTACATCAGTCACAGAAAATAAGTAAGAAATTATATCGGGGAAATCGTTTGATGCTGCAAACTATTGTACATCAAGGACCACAAAATTGGGTGTTGTTGGCCTATAACAGAGCACTCTCATTTATTAAAATAAAAAATGGCAGTTGTGCAATAGTCATCTGTGAAATCAATTCTGTGACATTAGTCATTTATATACGGGAAATCATTTGATGCTTCAAACTATAGTACATCAAGGACCACAAAAACTGAGTGTGGTTAGCCTGTAATAGAGTGATGTCATTTATTTAAACAAAAAATGGCAGTTGTGTAATAGTCATTTGTGGAATCCATTCTTACTTACATCACTCACATTCACCACGCCAATATGAGGGCGAGACAGGTCGATGCCAAATTTCTCTTCCCAGTAGGGGATCAGCTAAAAAAGGGGAGAAAAAAAAAAAGACAAGGGGGGTTTATTAAAGGGTGCACAAATTTCGCTCACGTCTCCCTCAGTCGGCATTCCCACACTCCGAGAGCAGGAAAGCCTGCCAAAAATCCCTCCGAGGACATGCCGTCCAGCTATTGTCTACCGACTGCCACTGTTCTGTTGTCCTGCCCGCGGCCTAACTAGAATGGAGCCTTTGTTGCCCCCACACCTCGGAGCCTTCGCCGATTCCCGGAAGGAGATTGCAACCCACCAGCAAAGAAGACACACCGCTGTCATTTTCTGGGGACTAAGAGTGTGGATCTGTAACAACGCGGCCCTCGGTACCGAGTGATACCATCATGGATTTTGCTGACACGGATGAAATTACTTTTTTTTTTTCGGATCTGAATGGATTTTTTAAGCGCATTGCGTTTTATAAGCCATGACAGGAAAAAAAAAAAGTCGTAAGTCCGAGAGATGCCCAACCAAGTCTCTGGGAGATGGTTTGGACCTTTATAGACCAAGGCCCCGACCTGCTCTGTGATGGTGGGACCCAGGGGTGGACTGACAACTCAATAGAAGATCATGGGGACCCTGTGTCCTCGCCTACACTCAAAACACACCCAAAAAATCCTATGAAAGGTACCAGGGGAATCTCATGGGGCTCCCTACTGACCCCATGCCCGAGTTCCCAAATGGTCAGTCAGTCCCCTGGAGGGACCAAATTTAAGCTGAATTCTAGGTGTTTTTTATCTTTTTGGCATACTTTTTGCATATGTAAGTATCCCTGTGGAAGTTGAGTCTTCCAGGTAGTGCCGGGGTAAGGTCATCCAGTGCCCGTGTAAGGTCATCCAGTGTCTCGTGTAAGGTCATCCAGTGTGCTGGGGTAAGGTCATCCAGTGTGCTGGGGTAAGGTCATCCAGTGTGCTGGGGTAAGGTCATCCAGTGTGCTGGGGTAAGGTCATCCAGTGCCCGTGTAAGGTCATCCAGTGTCTCGTGTAAGGTCATCCAGTGTCTCGTGTAAGGTCATCCAGTGTGCTGGGGTAAGGTCATCCAGTGCCCGTGTAAGGTCATCCAGTGCCCGTGTAAGGTCATCCAGTGTGCTGGGGTAAGGTCATCCAGTGTGCTGGGGTAAGGTCATCCAGTGTGCTGGGGGTAAGGTCATCCAGTGCCCGGGTAAGGTCATCCAGTGCCCGGGTAAGGTCATCCAGTGTCCAGGGCAAAGAAGCCAAACTGCGCTCCCCTTCATTATGCGCAATCCCCCCGCAGATATCCACTTGTCAAATTGGTATCAGAATGAGCTCGCTGGTACCTCCTCCACTGCGCCCAGGGCAGCTACCCCAGGACTTCTCCAGAGCTTCCCCCATCCTCTGGAACTCTCTACCCCAATTTATCAGACTATCGTCTACTCTGCTCACTATTAGGCGATCTCTGAAAACCTCTCTCTTCAGGGAAGCCTCTGCTAATAATGGGATCTTCTACTCTTCCAACCAGTCCATCCCCCACAGTTACTACCTTTTGTACCACTAGCCCCTCCCTCCTGCAAAGACAAGTCTAACTCCAATATCACCATTATTATTATTATTATTATTATTATTAATATTATATATTATTATTTTTCTATATTATTATTATTTGTATTATTATTTATTTTTCAAAATTATTATTATGATTATGAATTTTATTTCTATTAATAATAATAATAATAATAAATAATAATATCAATAATTATATCATTATTATTGTTGTTATTATTATTATTTTTTTCTATATTATTATTATTTGTATTATTATTATTTATTTTTTTCTATATTATTATTATTATCTCCTAGATTGTAAGCTCTCAGGATCAGGGCCCTCCTATCCTCCTATTGAACTGTATTGTTGCTCTATTGTCTCCCGTTATATTGTAAAGCGCTGAGCAAACTGTTGGCGCCATAAATCCTGTATAATAATAATAATAATAATACCCCTCCTGCCCACCCCTTGTCCTGGACCTGCTTCATGCCGAGTGGCTGCCTGCCCTGCTGCACAGGGTGGGGCACTTTCTTGGCACAGTCGCCATTCAGAGAACACCTTGGACTTTTCTCAAAGCATTCTCTGATTGGATGAGGCCTAGAGGCGGGGGCGGTGACATCACAATCTTATCTCATCCAATCAGGGAACGCTTTGTGTCCAATGAGGAAAGTGCAACATGTTCGCTGAATGGTGCCCATGCCAAGTGAGCAACTCCCTCTCCTGCTCAGCATTGGACCCAGAAGACAGTGAGGTAGCTGTGGCTGCTACAGTGATTCTCAGCTTCCACGGGGATCCCACAGGTATGGAATATAGATACTTTCATTGGTCCGAGCTGAACCATTGTAATTATGCAAAAACATTCCTAGAATTCAGATTTAAATAAAGAGATCCACTACTGTGTGTGGCCAACGCAGTTCCAGGGTCACAAAAGCTTCCTCAGGGCTGGTATATTGTATGCACTAGATCCTACAGCTGCAAGTTGGGAGCTGGGCTTGGATATATTGGTGGTGAGAATGACCCTAGCTACATTCCAGCAAACTTTCTACCTTCGCTTCACTCTCGCCACAGTATTGTGGATACAAAGTTTCACTTTATTGTGTGTGGCCAACGTGTTTCTGGGGTCACAGACACTTCATCAGGGCTGGTATATTGTATACATTGGTTTATGGAGCTGTAAGCTGTGGGCTAGACAGTTGGATTACGATGGCAACAGCACCATTCTAGCAAATTCATTACCTTTCAGGTGCTCTCACCGCAGTATTTAGGTCCAGCTCACAGCTTGCTGCTCTAGGAAAAGGGTTTAAAAATAACAGCCCTGGAAAAAGGGGTTGTGACCCCAAAAACGGCATTAGCCCTTTTTAAAATAAAATACTCACAAGGGGCAATTTTTGGCACAAGAACAGGCTCAAGATATTGAGGCTCAAGCCATTTAAAGCCCATTGCACCTTTAAAGATGACAACAAACCATGGTGGTCTGCCTTCTACACTGACTCTGAAGCACTCTTCCAATTTTCTCAAAAATTTGAGAAAAATGAAAAGCTTCAATTTTATTCCAATTTAAAGCCCATTGCACCCTTAAAGACCACCATAAGCCATAATTCGGCCTTCTCCATTGACTCTGAAGCAATCTCCCAATTTTCCCCAAAATTTTGGTAAAATGAAAACTCTCAATTTTACTTCCCAATTTAAAGTCCAATGCACCCTTAAAGACCAGCACACGTCAAAATTCTGCCTTCTCCATTGACTCTGATGCAATCTCCCAATTTTCTCAAACATTTTGGTAAAATGAAAGCTCTCAATTTTACTCCCAATTTAAAGCCCAATGCACCCTTAAAGACCACCACAAGCCACAATTCTGCCTTCTCCATTGACTCTGGAGCAATCTCCCAATTTTCCTAAAAAAATGTGGTAAAATGAAAACTCTCAGTTTTGTTTATCTTTAGTCACTGGCCAAATGCAATCTCCCAATTTTCCAAAAATTTTGGTAAAATGAAAACTCTCAATTTAAAGCCCATTGCACCCTTAAAGACCACCACAAGCCATAATGCTGCCTTCTCCATTGACTCTGAAGCAATCTCCCAATTTTTGGTAAAATGAAAACTCTCAATTTTACTTCCAATTTAAAGTCCATTGCACCCTTAAAGACCATCACAAGGCCATTAATTATGTCTTCTCCATTGACTCTGAAGCAATCTCCCAATTTTCCCCCAAAACTTTGGCAAAATGAAAACTCTCAATTTTACACCAAATTTAAAGCCCATTGCATCTTTAAAGACCACCACAAGCCATAATTCTACCTTCTGCATTGACTCTGGAGAAATCTCCCAATTTTTCCTCAAAATGTGGTAAAATGAAAACTCTCAGTTTTGTTTATCTTTAGTCACTGGCCAAATGCAATCTCCCAATTTCCCCAAAATTTTGGTAAAATTAAAATTCTCATTTTGTTTATCCTTAGTCACTGACCAAATGATTGAAACGTCCCCAAAAGTTTGATAAAATTGTTAAAGGAGTTTAATTAAAACTCTCATGTTTATTTTAGTCACTGGCCAAATGCAATCTCCCAATTTATCCCCCAAATTTTGGTAAAATGAAAACTCTCAGGTTTGTTTTTTCTTTAGTCACTTGCCAAATGCAATCTCCCAATTTTTCCCAAAATTTGGTAAAAATGAAACTCTCAGTTTTGTTTATCTTTAGTCACTGGCCAAATTGTTTGAAACGTAAAATTGTAAAATTGTTAAAGGAGTTATTGAAACATGTTTTTCGAGATCACATATGGGGGTCAACTTTAACTTGCTCTACATTTGTTTGTATTAGATTTCTTCACATCGCCAATGATATCTAGGCTTTTGGGAACTGGTAATATACGTTTAGGTGAACTGTGCATCAAAGCACAAAATATAAATAAATTTTTTTCCACATTATAGCAATATTTTAGTCTTATACAAAAACTTTGATTTTTACCAGTGGGAAGTCCTCGGGGTCAATCCAGATAATGCTAAGGTCAGGGTTATCGGTATTGTCCTCTGCAACCTCCTTGATGATCTCCAAGAACTCATAACCATCTGTTTCGAAAAGAAACATCAGTTACAAAACAACATATATTAAACAACTTCCTTCAAAGGTTTAAATATAAGAAACTTATAGTGTATTTCAATTTTTTTTTTTAGTTTTTAAAGGGGTGGGGAAGACTTAGAATCTTTTTTCATAATTTGTTTTTGTTTTGTGTATGTGTCCTGGATGTGAAGACTTCCCTTCTTGACTAACAAGAGAAAGAGTGTGAAATCTCTTCAAGGTGAAGAGAAGTAGATCAAAAGCAGGTCAACAGGAGCTCAGAAGCAGGTGTGAAGAAAGTCAGAAGGAGCTCTGAATCAAGTCAGGAGCAGGTCACAAGTAACTCGGAACCAGGTCATCAGCAGGTCAGAAGGTGGTCTGAAGCAAGTCAAAAGAAAATCGGAAAGGGTCCACAGGTCAGTAGGAGCTTGGGAGGATGTCAGAAGCAAGTCACAAAGTAGTCAGAAAAAGGTCAGAAGGAGCTCAAGAGGATGTCAGGATCAGGTCAGAAGTAGTTAGAAGAAGGTCATGGGTCAAAAAGAAGGAAGTAAGAAGCAGGTCAGAAGAAGCTTGGGAGGATGCTAGAAAGAGATCAGAAGGTAATTAGAAGAAGGTCATAGGTTAGATGGAGGTAAGAAGTACTTCAGAAGGAACTCAAGGGGTTGTCAGGGAAAGGTGAGAAGGTAGTTCGAAGAAGGTCATGGGTCAGAAGGAGGTAAGAAGCATTTCAGAAGGAAATCAAGGGGCTGTCAGAAGTAGGCAAGTAGGTAGTTAGAAAAAGGTTATGGGTCAGAAAGAAGGAGGTAAGAAGTAAGGAGATTGAGGGGCTGTCATAAGAAGGTTAGAAGGTAGATAGAAGAAGGACATGGGTCAGAATAAAGGAGGTACGAAGTATGGAGATCGAGGGGCTGCCATAAGCAGGTTAGAAGGTAGATAGAAGAAGGACATGGGTCAGAATAAAGGAGGTAAGAAGTAAGGAGATCGAGGGGTTGACATAAGCAGGTTAGAAGGTAGATAGAAGAAGGATATGGGTCAGAATAAGGAAGGTAAGAAGTATGGAGATCGAGGGGCTACCATAAGCAGGTTAGAAGGTAGATAGAAGAAGGACATGGGTCAGAATAAAGGAGGTAAGAAGTAAGGAGATCGAGGGGTTGACATAAGCAGGTTAGAAGGTAGATAGAAGAAGGACATGGGTCAGAATAAAGGAGGTAAGAAGTAAGGAGATCGAGTGGTTGACATAAGCGGTTAGAAGGTAGATAGAAGAAGGACATGGGTCAGAATAAACGAGGTAAGAAGTATGGAGATCGAGGGGCTACCATAAGCAGGTTAGAAGGTACAGTAGGTAGAAGAAGGACATCGGTCAGAATGAAGGAAGTAAGAAGCAGGTCAGAGGAGGCTTGAGAGGAAGTCAGATGCAGATCAGAATGTAGACAGAAGAAGGTTGCAGGTCAGAAGGAGTTAAGAAGAACTTAGAAGGAACTCAAGGGGCTGTCAGAAGCAGGTCAGAAGGTAATAAGAAGAAGGTAATTGTTCAGAAACAAGAAGGTAAGACGCGATGCAGAAGAAGCTTGGAAGCATGTCAGAATGAAATAAACACTTTAAAAAAAAAATCTGAAATGCAATCAAAATGCACCAAAAAGCGCTCGGTACCCGGCTCATCTATACAAACACTTAGATTGCGATTTGTAATTTTGCAAATCTGTAGAATGGTATTGATGAGAATCCGTGGGTGGTTTACAATCAGAATCTTTTACAGCAATTGTTTATGTGTAACATTTCAAGCTTTTCTATTTGGTGATTTTCACTTATGATCGTACCATGTCGAGTAGGGAGACAGCGGAGCATCAGAACACAAACAGATTATAAGGAGCACAATCGGTATGCTCAGGATTTTTCATTTAGTTGTAAAAAATTTTAGAATTGAATACATTACCAGGATCGTCCTCCTCTGCAAAAGCAACGATGTGGATTCCATTCAAGTCATCTTCCTGCAAGGGATAAGAAAAACATGTTCACGAAATTTCTTGCTTTAGGAGAATCACACATTATCTCGCATTGGGGAGATTTCACTAAAAAGTTTGGTTTGCCATACACTTAATCTAGAACAGTCTTTCTAAACTGGGTTTCCTCCAAAACAGCCTTTCCCAAGCTTTGAATCCCAGAGGAACCCCTAAAATAATTGCCCCGATACGTTGGTGTTTGATATGAAGACTACATCCCATAGAGTGGGAATCAGAATGTGGGAATCATATTGTTGGCTTTGCCAAGTGGTGTTGATCCAGGGACTATGAAAGAGAACAATCAACCACAGCTCAAGGAACCCCTAAAACAACCTCTGAAGGAACCCTAGTTGAAAATGGCTTCTCCAGAGTTTGCATTGGGTTCCTTGACTAACCACAAATATAGTCACTGATGTAAGGGTATTCTTCCTCCAAATGTCCAATACTGTAAGTGGCCCCGTGTCTCATTGACCATGAATGTCAGAAACCCACCCCACTGACCATCACTTTTCTAATGACCACCAACGTAAAAGGCAGTTTTCTACTAACCACCAATGTAAAGGGTGTTCTCCACTGGCTGCTAAAATGAGGGCACCATACAATTTTCTTTATGTGTTTCCTTGGGTGTCAAATACTTTAGGTACACCAAATTCTTGAAACATTTATTTATTGTCATATCAACAACGTAATAATTTTGCTAACTTCTCAGAGACCTGAAAACTTTTTCAGGGGTTCCTCTGCGTTGAAAAAAATTAGAAGGACTGATCTAAAAAGTAAGAATGCAAATATATTTACCCAGGTCTCATACATGCTGTCTGGCCGCAGTTTCCTCAGTGTTGGTCTGAAAAATACAAGAAAATGGATGGATTTACAAAATATTAAAGGCATAAATTGTCTTTTGGCTGAATTGGTTGGTTTAGGATATCCTTGGATCCTCACAGGCCCCAAAGAGTTTAAGATTTACCTAAAAGTACTTTAAAGAAAGTGTAGAGGATGGAGGGCGCCACAAATTTATCATAAGTCAAGTAAAGGTTTATTAATCTTGGTAGGTGATGTAACGTGTTTCCAGGGCGCAGCTCCCCCTTCATCAGGTCTAAGGGACAAAATAACCTAAATCATATCAATAGATATCTAAAAGTAAATATTTATGTTTATGAGGCAATTACGCTGCTTTTAGAACTATCTATTACCTCTTGTTGGGGGGAGTTGTGAGCCCCCAAAACGTGTTTGGGTTTCATTAGTCAGTTATGGATTTGTCACTTCTAGACCTATCTACTGTCTCTTGTTGGGGGAGCTGTGAGCCCCCGAAACGTGTTTGGGTTTCATTAGCTAGTTACAGATCTAGCCTCCCCCCTTCCATCACCCTTCATCTCTCCCCTCCTCTGACCTTGCAACGGCACTGCCCCCACCACACCCAAGGCCCTGCCTACCGTAACCCCCCCATCACTGCACTCCTTCAGCCCTACTACCACTGAGGAAGTCACCAGAGTCTTCTCAGAAGCCCGCCTCATACCTGCCCCCTGGACCCTATCCCCTCTCAACTCCTCCGGTCACCCCCTCTTCCCTCATCCGCTCCCTTACCCACATCTTCAATCTCTCCCTCGCTACTGGCGTCTTCCCCTCCCCCTAAAACATGCGCACATCATCACCCCATACTCAAAAGCCCTCCCTGGACTCCACTGACCTCAACAACCTCAGACCAATTTCCCTACTGCCTCACGTCCAAGCTCCTTGAGCGCTTGGTCTACGATCGCCTAAGCGCCCACCTAACTGACAACAACCTCCTTGACCCACTACAGTCCGGCTTCCGTCCCCTACACTCCACCGAAACTGCCCTCCTCAAAATCACCAACGATCTACTAACCGGCGCAAAGCCAAAGGCGGGACTACTCTGTCCTCCTTCTCCTAGACCTCTCTGCGGCCTTTGACACAGTCGACCACCCCCTCCTCCTTAATAAACTACTCTCCCTTGGCATCAGAGACACCGCTCTCTCCTGGTCTCCTCCTACCTATCCCAACGCTCCTTCAGCGTTTGCTACAACGGCGCCACCTCCTCTTCCCTCCCCCTCTCTGTTGGGGTCCCCCAGGGCTCTGTCCTTGGACCCCTTCTCTTCTCCATCTACACCTCCTCCCTTGGCAAACTCATACACTCCCACGGCTTCAACTACCACCTCTATGCTGATGATACTCAAATCTACCTATCCAACCCCTCACCTCACCCCCACATTCTCCGCCCGCATCACTCACCTCCTAAAGACGACATCTCTGACTGGATGTCGCTCCATTTCCTCAAACTCAAACCTCTCCAAAACCGAGCTTCTCGTCTTTCCCCTTCCAGTGCTGGCCCCCCCCCCCATCCTTTCCATCACTACCAACAAACACCACCATCAATCCCCGCCCCGCAAGCCAAGGTCCTTGGCGTCATTCTGGACTCAAACCTTTCCTTTCAACCTCATATCAAATCTCTCACAAACTCATGCAGGCTCCACCTCCGGAACATCTCCAAGATACGCTCCTTCCTTACCCCAGACACCACTAAACTACTCGTTCACTCCCTGATTATCTCACGCCTTGACTACTGCAACTCCCTCCTCACCGGCCTACCCCAGTGCAAACTCACCCCGCTTCAGACCATCCTGAACTCAGCTGCCAGACTCATCCACCTCACCAGCCGCTCCACCTCTGCCACCCCCCCTCTGCCTCTCCCTCCACTGGCTCCCCATTGCCCAACGCATTAAATTCAAACTGCTCACTCTGACCTATAAAGCCATTCACAACACTGCCCCTAACTACCTCACCGACCTGATTCCCAGATACCACCCTACCCGTACCCTTCGCTCTTCACAGGACCTCCTTCTATCTTGCTCCCTGGTCTCCTCCTCCCACGCACGACTGCAAGACTTCTCCAGGTCCTCCCCCATCCTCTGGAACTCACTACCCCAACCCATCAGACTGTCACCTTCCCTCCTCACCTTCAGGCGCTCCCTGAAAACCCACCTCTTCAGGGAAGCCTACCCCACCCTCACCTAACAGCCGCTGCCCTTCCCCTCCTCCTTCCACTCCATCCCCCACAGCCATTTCCTTATTGTCTCTTGTTGGGGGAGCTGTGAGTCCCAGAAACACATTGGAGCTTCATTATACCAGTTGTGGATTTGTAACTTCTAAACCTATCTATTGTCTCTTGTTGGGGGAGCTGTGAGCCCCCGAAACACATTGGAGCTTCATTATCCAGATGTGGATTTGTTACTTCTAGACCTATCTACTGTCTCTTGTTGGGGGAGCTGTGAGCCCCCGAAACGTGTTTGGGTTTCATTAGCTGGTTACAGATTCACTAGTTTTTGACCTATCTATTGTCTCTTGTTGAAGGAACTGTGAGTCTCCCCGAAAACACGTTGGAGATTAATTTGCCAGTTGTGGATTTGTTACTTCTAGACCTATCTACTGTCTCTTGCTGGGGGGATTGTGAGCCCCCGAAACGTGTTTGGGTTTCATTAGCTAGTTACAGATTCACTAGTTTTTGACCTATCTATTGTCTCTTGTTGAGGGAGCTGTGAGTCCCCAAAACATGTTGGAGATTCATTAGCCAATTGTGGATTTTAACTTCTAGACCTATCTATTGTCTCTTGTTGGGGGACCTGTGAGCCCCCGAAATGTGTTTGGGCTTCATTAGCTAGTTACAGATTCACTAGTTTTTGACCTATCTATTGTCTCTTGTTGAGGGAGCTGTGAGTCCCCGAAACACGTTGGAGATTAATTTGCCAGTTGTGGATTTTTTACTTCTAGACCTATCTACTGTCTCTTGTTGGGGGAGTTGTGAGCCCCCGAAACGTGTTTGGGTTTCATTAGCTGGTTACAGATTCACTAGTTTATGACCTATCTATTGTCATTTGTTGAGGGAGCTGTGAACCCCCAAAACACGATGGATCCTTATTAGCCAGTTGTGGATTTGTAACTTCTAGACCTATCTATTGTCTCTTGTTGGGGGAGCTGTGAGTCCCCGAAACATGTTGGAGCTTTATTAGCCACTTGTGGTCTCTTGTTGGGGGAATTGTGAGCCCCCGAAATGTGTTTTGGGTTTTATTAGCTAGTTACAGATTCGCTAGTTTTTGACCTATCTATTGTCATTTGGAGCTGTGAGCCCCCGAAACGCGTTGCAGTTACCGACTAATCTTTTATCAAGAGTAATAAATCATTACTGGACTTATCATGAACTTGTGATGCTCACACCTTCTCACTTTAAAATCCCAAATAAACTTTCAGTTTAAATCAGCTATATAAATTCTACCTGCAGAAAGTGTAGAAAGTTCTTGTTTTAGAAAGTGGACACAGCCTGAGTAGAAAAGCCTGTCCCCTGCCAGCATGCCAAAAAAGAAGGACCCCTGCTATCTGTGTGGAAGCAGTAGTCTCTCTGCAGGAGTTTAAAAACATCACCTAATGAGACAGAACTATAACTTAGGCAGTCCATTGATTTTTTTTTTTTTTAATAGTCGCGTTGAACAAAAAAAAAAGACTTGATTCCCCATCTACACACTCAATGTGGATGGGGGAATCTGACCGTTGTGCTTTTGCATTCTGATAGCAGAGAGACTTCACTGCCATCGGAATACAGTGATCAGGGCTAGCGGTTATAGGTGGTGGCAGGGGCAGACTGACAACTCATGGGGCCCCCGGGCAATAAGGGATCATGGGGCCCCTGTGTCCTTGCCCAAACTGAAGGTGTATTTAGGTTTTGTGCTGCCCTAGGCAACACAAAAATCGTCCGCCCCCATGGTCACCGATCAACACCAACCACCCCCCCGTCCCTCTCGTGGAGAAAACCTGACATTGACCAAGAACACCCCTACCTGGGAGAGTCTTCCACTAACCCCCCCCCCCCCCAATAGAGGGAAAGACACACATCTTCAACTTCGTCCCCGGGAATGAGAGTCAGGGTCTACATACACCACTAAGCAGCCCACAGCCTCTCTCAGATCCAGCTTGGTTTCCATGGAGCACGTGTCCCTTCTTTCATCCCTTCTTCTGGGGAGAGGTGCTGCCCCCCTGAAAAATGCCGCCCTAGGCAAGTGTCTTGTTTGCCTTGTGGTAAATACGCCCAAGGGCGGACTGACAACTCATGGGGCTCCCGGGCAATAGGGGATCATGGGGCCCCTGTGTCCTTGCCCAAACTCAAAATAGCCTATGAAAAAGGTACCAGGGGCATCTCATGGGGCCCCCTACTGATCCCGGGCCCTCGGGCAGTGCCCTAGTTTCCAAATGGTCAGTCCGCCCCTGAATACGCCCCTGCTTATCGGTACAATTTAGGGTCAACAGGTGGTTGTTCTCGAGTGGCCTCCTTTGCCCTTCTCTTTTTTTCGCGTATCCACAATTGTCAATAAAAGGCGTTGAAAGCTCTAAACTAGAATAATGCGATGCAGAAGAAAACAATACATATATTACAGAAGGGAGGGGAGAAAAAAAAACTGTATTTGCTCTGCGTGCAGTTTAAAGGCCTTGCTGTCATGGCAACCGCGGTCTCCGAACTGGCAATCCTTAAGTGTATCTGTATAGCTGCACTTTCATCGCCAATCCTCAAAAGAAGAAGATGCTAAAGCAGGCCTCTTATCTGCTTTTAACCCTCAAGGGAGAGGAACCTGGAGGAGACGAGCCGGTGACTTCTGAAAGACGGGGCTTCAAAAGAGATTTTTATTTATTTTTTAATTTTTTTTTTTTTTCACCTAGAAAAGAGCCTAGAAACTACAATTGTTTTTTTTTTTTCTTTTAATTTGTCTTAGAAACTAGGGGAGCGTGCAATAAAAGGTACGTGTGGCTTGCGACGTGCTGAAACCATCCTCGAAAAAGCTG